ACTGTATTATTCCCACAAAATGTCCCCTTTGTTGAAACGGAGCTAGCTAATACAGTTAAGTATTTTTCTTCCGGTCAGAAGGATGCAGTAAAAGTGGTTTCCTACAGGCATCCCGTCGATAGTAAAAAGGACACTTGACACACAAAGTTTTGAAGGTTAAAGGGGATGATTTCGTTTTTCCGACCTTATTTTCAGGCGTATTTAAAAATAGTTGCAGGCGGATGGGTTGACTTGCTCTCTGCAGAATAGGTTTTCTTAATAAATTATGCACATCGGTTCTATAGGAAATTCTTTCACACACACTGCATGAAGCTGACGTCTTTTTCCACTTAGCATCATTGAGTTTATGACTAATCAGTTCATATTCCCGAATATTATAGGGAAATGACACGTGTTTTGAATTTTCTGAATAATGTTGGTATCTTCCTGATCTAAGCATGGTCCGTATACGGTGTCCACATAGTTGAAATGGTTTAAGACAATCGAATCAATAAGCTTCAATTTTACAGATGCAGATACAACATCTTTAAATTAAAATTAAACTGTCTGTATCCATTTGCTGACGAGATTGAAGTCTCAAATTTGTGTCTATAATAACTCCCAAGCTTTTAGCATTTTTGGTTGATTCTAATTTTTCATTTCGTACAAATAACTTTAAACTATTCTCCAATTCTACGACACTATTGCAAAGATTAAGAGACACGATTTGGGAATATTTATTTCTAGCCGGTGTTGATTTGCGAAGCGAACAATATCTTGTAAATCGTTCTTAATTGTGACTGCCGATTGTTCATAATCGTAAAGTATGAACTACTTAATAAATAAAGTAAAGATTTAATTTGCAGTTTAGCATTTTGAAGACCTCAAAAATTGACTCAAGTTTAGGACTGTAAGTTAATCATCAATTTTCTAAAGAGAAGAATATTTAAAAAATAACGTCACCTTCGTTAATCAAAATTTGTCCTCAAAACAAACCCTTAAAAATCAAAAATGATCTAAAAATATATTTTTGTCACTAGTTCTAAAAGGGTTTAAAACATCTACATGAAATTTCACCACAAACATTCGCTGCCGAAAAAAGTTTCATATTTTCTTTAGGAACAACAATATTTTTTTAAAAATTTTCCATAAAACAGATAACGTTTTTGATTCTAAGAAAATGTACTAGTTTTTCAAATTATTATTTTAAGTAATTTTTATACGCGAGGAGTTAGTTACATTTTGCCAGCAGTAATTTTTGTCACCCGGTCAAAAAATTTTTTGAATTTACCGACCAAGTTAAGCGCCATCAGTTTTTTAAATTTTCTGACACTTCGTCAGGTCGATTTTGAGCTGTTCATACTCTTATCACCCTAAAAATTGGAAATTCTAATCATTGAATAAATTCACTCATTGGTTCAATTCCAACTAACCAAAACTAACTCTCCCTACTTGTGATGAAGTGCAGTGATGAACGGGCCCCGCCAATAATAGTACGGGAAAGCGATGATTTGTTTAATGAATGACACTCAATTTATCTTGCTTACATATTGCGAAAATGATTTGGAGCCCACTGTCAAAATCAAATCAAAATCTAATTTGATAAAGACACGGTGTTGTCGAAACAATTGTCATGTCAAAATATATAATTTCGTGAAAATTTGATCTTTTAGTTCTTATTTATTTTGGTAAATGGATTTTCAAGTAAAAACCACCTCAGTTCAATCTTAGTTTTTTTACCTATGTCTATACTGATACCTATATCTTATAGAAATAAGGCGCAGTATTATTACTATTCTTTCATTACCTCATTCTTTTAATCGTGGTTTAACTTTGCGGAGTTGTTTTCGTAGCGCTAGTGGATAATAAGCTTAACATTTCGGCTTATGAGATTCGTACAGTTTTAATGCAACAGACCTCGATACGACCTCCCCATTGTCAAGTTGCCATCAACGAACTCTATCCCTCTACTTTTTGTCCTTGTTTTCCGTAACAAAATCGCTTAACAGTCACAAGGATCGATGAAAGTTCTAATTTAGCGGAAATCTTTTCCGGTTTGTCGACCATTAGAGAAACTTATTTCGATAAGAAAACGGCGAGTGTTCTTTTAAACGCCAACGGTTGGCCCAAGGCCAAACGTTCGACAAAGTGCACCAAGAAAACGGCGGGTCGGGAACTTTATCTCCTCGGTATATGGGTCGGAATTTATTGCTCTAAAGTGTGGTGACTGCACCGACGACTTCAAATAATTACAGGAAGCTTTGTTTGCGGAATAAAGTAAACGAGATTCTCTAATCCGGGAATTGTTTTTAAAAAATGCGCATAAATATTCCGGGTGTGAACTTGGAGACTTAACACGGAAGTTTTTGATTGAATTCTGTATTTAAAACTAGGTGGGATCTTTTCTCTTCTCTTCTTTTCTCTCTGTGTTCCCTATATACTGCGACAAGAATACAAGAATTTTAGTTTGGTCCAATAAGATTTGATATCCGGTTTCATGATTGCTTCCTGAAATTGCTAATTAGTTTATTTTCTGTAGTGTTAAGGCTCTTTCGTGTTCTTTTAGGCTAGTTGATATTTTTGTCTTGTTACTCCTACGTATTTTTGGTCGCTTTAGCATGGAATGCTATAAACTCCTGGTGTTTCAGTCAGAATTCTGTTTTTGACGTTTGAGAGGTGTGATGAACTGTATTTTGTGATGGAACGCTTAATATCTAGAATATGGAAATTATTAGAGAGAAGAGTAGATGTATTTGTGTTTCAATTCTGGCTTCTTTGATTTAGGATGAGATAGTTTTTTCTGCTGTGTAAACAAGAGAGTTGATAACCGTTGATTATGGGCCCAGATTGCCTTGTAATTTGTTGAGGGTTTTATTCTCAGCATATACTCTTCTTTTTTTAATTATTTCCACACTAATAGTTGAGATATTAAGGTTTCCATCACAAAATACAGTTCGGCACAAGCACCCAAAGAAAACGAGTTCGAAAGTGAGCCCATAACTAGCCACTGTTCTTGCTTGGATTTAAAACATATCAAAAGTTCTGAAGATATACAATATCAAAACAGCTTTACCACATACAAAAATCTCTCAATATCTTCGATCCATTCTATAAATTGCAGAAATATGACGAAAAATATCAACTAGATAACTCGAACCGGCCATCAAATTTTATTCTACTACTAAAGAAAAATACGAAGATTGATAGAAACCTCCAAACAACCAAACAATCTGTACCGCGACTAAGGTTTTTACTTTTTATCAATATGGGAATCAATCATCCGAGGGAGTGTTTATCCCCTTCTTTACTTCCGCCCCCCTCCCAGAGTAGAATGCAATCCAGAAGATTTGTAAATAGTATTACAAGAGCCTGTGAAAGTTTTTTGGGAAAATTAAAATTAAAAAATATATATTTAGATGACTTCTCTTCTTTTCTGTGATAAAGTTTATCTATTTTTTTACTTCCTTTACGCTTTTTTCATATTTAATCATGTTTAAGTTTTTAATTTATTACTTACTCCGATATATCTGACTCTATAGTTCCCTTCTCTTTGTTTCAAATTTTACACCTTCACTGGTTCCATATTTTGACACACCTATACAGAGAAAAATTTTGATGTTCTTGACATAACGGAAACATAAATACACCTAACAGTATTATAACATTAGATGGGTAAATATATCTTCTTGGCTCTTGATAGATTTGGCACCGAGAAGTAATTAGGACTTTTATAGGTATTGTACTTGGTAAATGCACCAACCAATAAGTAATTCATAGATAAAGCACAAGAGAGGGGTGAGTCTAGTAGAGATCGACCTGGCGCCAGCTGATATCAGTGGCAGTGTTCAATAATCCTAGATATTAGATATAGATATTATTGTTTTTAACCCCACTCTCTGAAAAATGGAGATCAAGATACGATAAGAGCGAAAATTTATTTTCTAGTTGATCATAATGCATATCTTGGAAATTTTAAGAGTAAACATGAGTTTCAACTTAGACCTTCCTCCCAGTCACTTAGATAAATTTCTGTGTAATTTAGGAAATTATAGTGAGCAAAGGGAAAAACGCTTCCGCCAGGATCTAAATGTAATGGAAGAATGGTATCACCGTAAATGGGACTGGTACATGATGCCAGAATACTGCTAGTCTTTAAAGAGAAATTGTCGCAAAAAATATTACATGGACATAAACATAGACATAGACAACCGTAATTATAAATTATAAATGGTACATCACGTTCAACGTACATCTACAAAAATAAATAAATGAACATTCTCATAAGTTTTTTCTGACTAACGTGAGTGACTAAGAAACCTTAGTAGGAAAATGTGTAAGATCTTTTGCCTATTTGTTTTTTACACTTATTTGTAATCATATTTCGTTTTTCTTCAATTCTTGCATTGTAAGAATGATTTACATTTATTTATTCAAAATGTTTCTAAGACATTTGCAATTGTAAATCAGTCGCCATAAGTTGTTTACTACTGCTTGTAAGTATTTATTCGATTTTAATTAATGAAATTAAAGTTTTTTTCTAGTTTTTACCGTAAGTAACATCTGTTTAAAGCAACTCAAGTCATTCCTGAAGTTCTTTTCCACTTTAATCATCTTCGTATAAGAAAACTTCGTCATCCATAAAACCAAGGATTGTATGTCATTTGTCTTAAAATGGACCTCTGCGGATCGCCATAGGATATGTTTTGTTTTAAACTATAAGTATTATTAATTGTTGTTTTGTGTATTCTTTCCGTAAGATAACTTTTACATCAGTTTATGGTCAATTGTGTCAAAGTCCTTGGAAGGATGGAGAAACATTGCACAGCTTTAAATATAACTGTTATATATTTTTCATAATTCATTAAATATGAATAATTACCAAACCACTGTTGACAAGCGTTATCTCTGAAAGCTTTCCTTCAGATTGCATTAAGTTATGGGTATTTTCCATGCTTAACCTGCAGACGTGTACGCGTTATACGTCAGTATATTATGACAGCTGACAAAAATGGAAACCAGATTCAAAATTTCTGGTGTTTTCAACGTTCGCTCCCTATCCGATCTAAAACGGTCGCGTCCAAGGGCAGTCCTGTGAGGTACAATTATGATTACGTTTTTTGCAAGCCGTCTCCAAACTCTACTGCTTGCAGGACTGTCCGGCGTTTCAGGCGTAGATGTTGGAAAACAATGCATTTTATAAAACTCAAATTTGGAAGTAAAAACGACAGCGGCGGAAATAACGCCGGCAAACCGGCGAACGACGCGACGAAAGAAGTCGAAGTGCCTCGCGCTGAAGGTAAGCAAGTTACGAAGACGTTCGTTCAAGATGATGAAGATACGGTACGCCGTAAAGTCACCACTGGCGAGCGAATCTGTTTTGGAATTCTGCCGGTAATTTTTGAGCATTTTCAGACTCGAGAAAGAGCGAAATGTCCATTCATAATCAGCCAGCGTTCGGAATGTTAATGGTGGGCCCTAATTTCAGGGTCGGGAAAAAAATAGGAAACGGAAATTTTGGCGAGTTGCGTTTGGGAAAAAATCTGTACAATAACGAGCACGTCGCTATCAAGCTGGAACCGTTAAAGAGCAGGGCGCCTCAATTGCATTTAGAATATAGGTTTTATAAAATGCTCGGCCAACAAGAAGGTTGGAAGGGGGTAACGGCGTCGGCGCTATTTTTCTCGTGATGTTTCAGGGATACCGAAGGTTTTTCATCTGGGCACTTGTGGCGGCCGATACAATGCCATGGTGATGGAACTTTTGGGTCCAACCCTCGAGGACCTTTTCACTTTGTGCAGCAGAAGGTTTCGTTTGAAGACGGTTCTAATGATTGCCGACCAACTGCTGACGAGATTGGAATACGTGCACTCCAAGAGACTGATCTACAGGGACATAAAACCTGAAAATTTCCTGATCGGCCGGTCCAAGTCGAAAAAAGAGAAAATTATTCATATAATCGATTTTGGCCTAGCTAAAGAGTACATCGACTCCGAGAGCGGAAAACATATACCTTATAAGTAAGAACTCAAGCATGAAATAAGTATTATAGATATGACAAGCAGCCATAAGAAAAAATAACTTCATTCTCTCTTATAGAATTACGTTAATAATAGACAGCTAGATTTCTTTCATTAACATGATTTAACTCTTTGCAACCGTCCATTAAGTTTATTTTGAAAAAGAGACGAACGGCTGCCTATCGTTTCTAGATGTCCTAGTCGGTAGAAGTAATTTGACACTATTTAAATTTCGAGTCTAACCATTCTGAAGCAACCAAACTAAGAATCATCCAGTGTACAAAAGAACAATCGCAATATGCAATTTCTGAGGCTTTGTGTCCCCGGTAGATTATGAGGGATGTGACAAAACTTGAATATCATGTTTTTCAGCTGTACGGCGTGAGACTCTGCTTTGTTAAAAGATTTGTTTTTTTGTTGTTAATTTTGATGCACTTGGTAAAACATATCTTGATACTTGACTGTGCCTTCAATAAAATGAAAATTTCCCAAAATTTTGGGCGACCTACAACGCCATCATGTCTTGCGGAAACTATAGTCCATTTGAGACAATCCTTATGAAATGTTGACTCAAATGTGACGCTTCAATCTTTCAGTTCAAATACGTATCAAACTTACCTTATAATAACTAAGAGCGCTCTTGTGGACATATTGGCGATAATATTGATCCCAGTTTCTACCAACTTACTTAATATAATGAAATTTCTTAGACTCCTTTGAAAAGCAGCTGTTGTCGAGCCTCAGATTTTATGGCGAAGATTAATATAGGCAATTTTTGAAAGAAACTTCCACAGGCTACTTTAATGATATTTATAAATCTTCTGGATGTTGATTAAACTAACTTGCTGACATATCGCTAATCATCTTGCTGGATTCTTCAGAGCTGAATTGAAACTGGTTTGCAGAATTTATTGATTACATGCCATTCAGTTTGGTAGGACAACATTTGATATGCGGTTTCATGGTTATGTTCGGCAACTGCTCCGTCTTTCTCAAACAATATATAAGCAGGTACAGATTAGAATGCAGTTCAGTTAAGCTTTGAAGAAGCCAACAGCCAAATGTAAGTAGTGTCAATGATGGCAGTTTTATCATATTTTAAAATTATATCAAGCGCAGTAATTGTACCTATATTCAATTCACTGTGAACTTTATCATTCGTTTTACCTTTGGGGCACTAGTGAATAAAATAATTTCTCGCGCTTTTGGGACTAGTAGGTTTTCAATGTGACATTATTGCATTTTACTAGTGGTTGTTAATTATTTATATTGAAATAAAGCGTGATAAATTCTTCTTGACAACACACTACTTACCGGTATGTTTCACATTAAAACCTCCTTCACGACAGACTGATAAACCTTAGACAACGTGAGGCAAAGCAAAGCATGCTGCAATTTTGAGTTAGCAGCAATAATTAAGTTGTAAAAATAATTTCTTTAAAAAAAAATTATATTTTATATGGATAATGATGTTGAACTGTTTAGTTTTTGAAATACTGACTGGAACTACTTTAATTCCCTCACGCAGTAAAGCGCATCATATTGTTAAAAGAGATGGGAGATGAGTGGGTTTCCATTAATGAATGTCAAAGATGCGGATTGAAGCCCTTGTCGATGTTAGGCATGTTATCGATGACTTGTTCCGTCCTCTTTCTAGAGAGCACAAATCTTTGACAGGAACCGCGAGATATATGAGCATAAACACTCACTTGGGTAGGGAGCAAAGTCGCAGGGACGATTTGGAAGCCATGGGTCATATGCTGCTGTACTTTCTCAGAGGATCGTTACCATGGCAAGGTTTAAAAGCGGACACGCTTAAAGAAAGATATCAGAAGATCGGAGAAACCAAGAGGGCAACCCCTATCGAGAACCTTTGCGAGGGTATCCAAAGAGATCATTTTCATTATGTAATACTAGTGATCGCGAGGTTTTAGGGCAACCCGACGAAGTTGCTGCTTACCTTAGGTACGTGAGAAAATTGGACTTTTTCGACACACCGGACTACGAGTATTTGAGGAAAATGTTTAAGGATTTGTATGTCAAGAAAGGTTTCGCTGATGACGGCATTTTCGAGTGGACAGGCAAGGAAATTTACCCATAACATACATATTTGGAAAGGGATTTCCCTTTCTCTCCCTCTCCTTCTATCACTGCCTCTCCCTCTCTCTCGTTCTGTCCTCCCCCCTTCCCTCTCTCTCTGTCCCTCTCTCTCTCACACACTTTCCCTCTCTCCTCCCCCCTCTCTTTCTCCCCCCTCCCCCCCTCACTCCCTCCTACACCTCTTTACTCCCTCTCTCCTTCTCTCTCTCTCTCTCTCTCTCTTTCTTTCTCCAAATAACTTTTTCAGTTTTGTCGATTTAAACTTTTTTCGGTGGCACTTTATTTGCCTTAAATGGTTTCTTGCGTTAATATCATAGCTTCGAATTTGCCCGAGACTTTCTAACATTAAACGGAGTGTCCCTTTTGTTCGTTTTCAGACAGAGTTTCCTGGCTTAATACCGAAGAGAGAAGGGAGGTTCACAAGACGAAGACGTAGCGCCGCATTTTTGAACGGTGTTTGTTTTCGAGAATAAAGATTAAGTTGTGGTCGCTTCTAGACTTAAAAATGACACAGAAGCTTTCATTCCCGTGTTCTATTTGCGAAATGGTAGCGACGTCTCGAGGTTTGAAATTACGTACGTTATATAGTCTTATCAATATCTGGTTGTACGTTTGCTAAAGGTCTCTATAGCGCGGGACGCGAATTTTAACACGTTTGTTATGGGATAAAATAATGAAAATAAACGTCTAAAATTTTTAACAATAAAATAAATATGGCAGTTTGTAAATTGCATTATGCATTATTCTTCATTTTTTCTTGTTTTTAAGAGATTTCAAAAAAAAGAAAAACAAAAAATTGTAAGGAAAAAAATTGTAAACCTGGTCCGCTGGAAGTAGCAAAGTCTCAGCAGTCTAGCAGTTTCTCAGATGGTGTGAGAAACCTGATTTAAAAATAAACCGGATAATGAAATTTAAGTTTCATCAAAATTATCGTTTAAGTTAAGTTAGTAAACGTCCGTTGTCAGAAATGAAAAAAAAATAAATAAAGAAGGGGAGACCTAAACTTTGTATTATTTCAATACTAAAATTAAATTTTTGTGCATCCTTATCAAAACAAAAAATACGCACGGTACAAAAATATGATAATAATGAACTTGTTTCACAGTATAAGTCAAGTTGTAGCAAAGCATTAGTAAAGTGTGGTGGGAGTTTAATTTGGTCTTTCTCTTAAAAATACAAAGCCGGATGCTTTTTAATAAAAATGTAAAAACTTATCTGGCTTTAAGTATTGTTCTTTCTACTTTGGACTTGTACAAAATTATAAAATTTTAGAAATTTCTACATCTAAGCTTCAAAATGTTTATATATTTGCATACAATTATCAATTTGTTGAAATCCAAGGTTGCGGACCCGTTTTAAAAATATATAAATTTCATACTTTTGTATTTTTTTCTAAATACATCATCACGATAACACAAAAGTAACATAGTATATTTTGCAACAAGTGCGGTAAACGGCTCACGAGTTTATTTGACATGAGCGGAACGCAGCGGAAGCAGTGTTTAATACGAGTTTCTACGATGGTTAGTTTTTGAGTATAACACGAATACATTCACTGACGTGACCGTCAGAATTGACAAACGTCAAAATTCAAGGCGTGGGAAAAATCTCCGACAACATCCGATTGCTCCCAAACCCGTGTGGTAAACTCGCGGAAATGTCCGAAGTGGTTCGGATTCGTCGGAAACGAAACTAAGATGGTAAAGTAATGCTTCTCGCACGCTAGATCGGTGTGTAATTGGGTATTTTACAGACAAGAGTAGAAAAAATAATGTGCCTATGTGCGTGCGAAGAGAGACTACTACCAGATTTAGCAAATCCTGACCTCAGGCGAGCTACTAACCTTTCTTGTAGTCTTTTCCCAGGTGAGGTTATTTTTTACTCTATATTATTTAATAATACCCTATTCACGTCCCCATTCAAATCTTGATGAAAGGCAGCAGGTGCACCAAAATAAAACTTGGGCGTGGGAAAAATGACTTCGAAGAGGTGTAGAATTGAAAACTGGAAAGCACAGCTGCCACAGCATTCATGGTTTGGTGATGCAGCGAGGAAGGCAACAGAAGATCACCTTATTTATTCTTGATCACAGTGATTGAAAACCAAAAAGATAAAAGATCCGGCTCTCAGACCGGGACAGCCCTTAAGTGAGGAGCTAAGAATCTCGCCATCAATCAAGATCCATGAAATAAAAAATTAGCAAAACAAATGAAGATCGGTACATGGAACGTCCAAAGCATGAAACTGGAAACGCTGCCTATATTATAAAAGGAATGAAGAGACTTGATATTGGCATCCTAGGATAAGCGAGACTAGATGGCCTAACAACGAAATGGTTAAGCTATTATTATAAAGGTTAGTATTGGGAGAGGGGTAATGGGCTTCCTACATATATCAGATAGATTATTTATGTTAAAATTCGGTATTAAACCTTTTATAATTAACATAATACTGCTCTTCCTTATTTATACTTCTGATGTTTTGATATCTTCAAAATTCTGTAAAATTCACATAATACACAAATTTATTATAGGAGCAGCCCCGACAATCATAAAGAATTTAAAACATACATTAATCATGACCATCAAACTTTTAATCAGATGCCTTAAGACAACAACTGTTTGGGAATGGTAAGAATGTTAACTTACTAAAGAGTAAATTGCGAACAGCAACTTAAAATTAAATTTTAAGAATTGTGCCAAGAATCTGGGAGTGATCTCCATGAAAGTTTTATATAACACACATATTTTAAGTGAACAACTGAAACGAAGTCTGTGTGAATCCCTAGTCCTCTCTGATTTCAATTATTGTGAGTTTGTCGATGGTTTTTGTTTGCATCGGGAAACTAAGAAGCGTGTTCAGATAGTACAGAATGCATTTATGGTGTGAGGAAATTTGATCACGTATCACACTTATACAATGATATAAAATGGCTCAAAATGAATTTGGGGACATTTTTGTTTAAGGTAATAAATAATTATAATTCGCCAGTTTCCATAAAAAAATTGATTAATATTTTGTAGCACTGTATATTAATATTAGAAATAATACCAAACTAACAATGCAATCTGCAACTAAACAAGAATCCCTAATCCCTCATTAGTGATTCAACAAACGCTTTATAAACAATCACAACAAGTTTTTTATTAAAAAAATTCTCTTAGAAAATAAAATTTGTGTATGAGTTTATGGATTTTATTCGTTAAATGATCAATATATGGTCCCCATTTCAGATTCTTATCTATCATAATGCCCAAGTATAACTTCCTCTATATTATAACCATCCAAAGTAACAAATTCATATTCATATAACCGATTCATATTCATATTCATATACTTGCTGCTGTTAGAGAAAAAGCTATGTATTTTGTTTTAGTGATATTCAATATTAGTTTGTAGGTGTAGAGCCAATTTTGGACCAGTTTTAATCCACTTATTGCTTGTGTTCTAATTGTATTCCAGTTACCACCACTAAAGACAAGAACAGTTTCATCTCCGTATGACACAGTCAAGGCACTGGCCCTTAAATTCAATATATATTCAATATATATTCAATTAAAAGTATAGGTCCTAAGACCGTACCTTGCGGGGCACCAATTTTTATATTGACCTTGTTACTTGTGTAGCCATTTACACAATCTGATACCTACCTGCTAGATAATTTTTATCTAATTTTGAGACTATTCCTCTGATACCATAATGATATATTACTTTAATAAGCTTTGCGTGAGGAACCGTATCAATGCTTTTGCCAGATCAATAAAAAAGGATATCACCAGAACGGTTATCCCGTCATGGCCTGATGAAGCGTTATTTTTTAACGATTAAATATGTTTCACAAGCTCACTCTTTGTCAAGGGAGTCAGAAACAATGTTTATAAAATAATCATTAGCGTATTTAGCCATGTCTTCAGCGCAACAAAACTCATCACTCTTATCATTACGTATAGCTATATTATTGTGTTTACCAGTCATTAAATAATTTCAAAATTAAATATAAAAAATATTTTCTAACTCTCTGTTAATGGGCTTAAACTAAAATAAGTAATATAGTACCTACATAGTTCCTGATTTCCTGAGTTCCAAATGTTATAAAACCAATTAATTCTCCTCCACTGCTAAAACCTAAAAGTTACTATAATGTATATAATTTGTTCTTTATGCAACTTATTTCCACAGGTATAATTACAGTACTTTTTCTAGATAAAATTTTTATGGGATTAATATAGTATTGTTGAACTATGTTTGTCTCTGTTTGGTTCAGTAGAGTAGCGAAATGCAAGACTTGCGCCAAAGTTAGCATTAGCATAGGTAAATGAAATTGTTTTTTTGTAATAACTTTGTCATATCATATTGTTCAAATAAAGTCATTATTATTATTATTATTAAGATAAAGTCCTCTCATGTCGGCTAGGTGAGTAGCTAAACATGAAATGTGCACTATTGAAGTTGAGGTTGATTAAGACCTCTTCTAATTATGTTGCAGGTAGCTAGTACCACAGACTGCATTTCAAAGTAGGCACCTGGTTTCACAGTGAGTGTTGCCAAGTTGGTTCTGAGGGACTTTGGTATTTCTCCCATTGAACCAATCACTATAGGAACCATGCTCACCCTATCGACACGCCATGTCTGTTTTATGTCATCCGCTAACCGTATGTATTTTTCCTTTTTCTCACGTTCTTTCTGTTGCAGGTTGTTAGGTGCGGGAATTACAACGTCGACGAGGGTCACCACTCTATTTGCCTTGACATAAATAAGGAAATCCAGCCTGTTGTGCTGGACAGTGCAATCGGCCTGAACAGCTATGTCACGGATTCTGGTGAGTATAGGTAGTATAGACACTTCTCTTTTAGAAGTTTAAGGTTGAAGCCTATTTGCTGATGGACTATCTTGGCTACGTTGTCGTGTCTTGTGGTGTACTCCTTCGGCGCCAGTACCCGGCAGCCACTAATAACATTCTCATGACCCTCTCCACACATGCAACAATTCGTTGTTGTTACTGTCGGGTCCTTGATTATGTGTTTAAGATAAGACCGAGTGGGTATGACCTGATCCTGAATTGCACACATGAAACCCTCAGTCTCGGGGAAGTGGTTGCCGTTCGTTAGCCAGCCAACTGATGCGGGCTTGTCAAGGTCAGCACTGTCAAGCAAGTTTGGGTATCTGCCGTGTAGTTCCTTTCCCCGCCACTGGGTTTCGAGCTCCAAAATGGAAAACTGATGGTCGCACCGATAGCGTATGCTCTGCAACATGACACCCCTCAAGTGATCCTATCAAGACCTGTCACTGCTCGGTGGAGCGCTGAGCTCTCGCTTTTCTGATGGAAGTATTTCCACAGCCGCTCCACCTGGGTCTTGTGGCATATTCGCAAATCCGAGAATCCCCTGCCTACGATGCTTCGTGGTAGATGTACGGCCAGTTCGTGGATGGTGAGCACGGGACTTAGACCTGTCCTTAAGATCCTATTCAGACGGTCAAGCTCTGTCGGCGTCCAATCGACGAAGCCGAGGCTGTACGCCACTGCAGGCACGGTGTAGGAATTGACTGCAGTCGCCATGTTACGACCTGATAATCTTGTTTTTAAGATGTGCTTGACTCTCTTTTTGAATCTCTCGGTGAGCTGCGCCTTGACATTCTTAGAGTCTATTCCTCGCGCCTGGGCAAAACCTAGGTATTT